AAGATTTACTAGCTGAAGCAATTATAATGATCCACTTAACAATCCTTGACCGTGATTTGTCGAGATATAGAGACCTAACCGAATAATTTGAAACGTTCAAGTTGAAAATCTCGCGCGCAACCAACAGCGGCGTTAATGCGCATGCGCGCGCCTGGAGTTTCTTCTCGCACGTGCAGGTCGTTCGTTAATGTTAACTTTTACTGCTTTTAGAAATTTTTCTTTTCCGATACGTTTCTTTGAATTAATTAGCACCTATATCTACGATATTAACTTCTAAAGTTAACGTTTAGTAATTAAACAATTAGTTTCAAAAACGAACGAAATTGATTAACAAATTGCCGGAGCAACAATTCTACGGGCACACGATCGATCTTTAGCACACATATTGGCCATTGAATTGACCGTCTCTTCCAGAAATTTCATCAACATCCATCGCTTTTTGTAATAATAATGGGCAATTTTCGAAAACGGATTTTTCCGCGCTCGACCTTAACTTTGTAGTCCAGGTAAATAAGCTGGGAAATGATCATATCGCGACTTTTTGTTTCGGCAAGCTGAATTTATCACTGGATGCGAAATATTATGTACAATAACATATTAGTTTCCACAGTCATAAAAATGGGGGAAGATTGTTTACAGGGTGGTTAATTGTATAATTAATAAATTCACTTCTTCGCTTATAACTTTTTTCCGTTCATTTCCACGAGAAAACAGTAAAGTTTTTTCGTCTTCAAAAGACCAACAAAACTAGCCCTCCATCGTCAAAAAATATTGATTAGGGTAAATCGCCCAGTAAATGAACAATTAAGGCCCAATTTGACTGAGTAGTAAATACTTACTGATAATGATATGTATTGGAATACTAAAAAAACTATTCGGAACCTGGATTATATAAAAGTTGATTAATCCACACATAAATGGAATGCTTGCATTACTTTTTTTTATAAAAAATATTGATTTGAAAATATCAAAAAATCTAGTGAATGAACAATAAATTCTAGTAAATAAACAATAAAAAGCTAGTGAATAAACAACGTGCAGTTTATTTTAAAAAATGATACAAAACATATTGTTATAGTACATGTTACTATATATTGATTTTATAAAGACCCCGGGAGTTGAAAGGTTGAGGTTCGGTCATTTTCATCAGTATCTGCTTTCTTGTGTACCAAATTTGGTCGGGTGGTTTCGGCCATTTCCATTTATTTTTCGAGATTTCCTCCATAACGCTTATTTCGTATTCCTCTTCAGCAATTGATTTAATTACTCCTGGGTACTGCTTATTTTCATATACTACTATCACATAGTCCCCCACTTTCAGAAACTCTACTGAAGTTACTATCTCTTCTCTAATCATTTTTAAGCACGCGATTTGGAAATTATTTCTGTATTACGTTTTCCGATATCTGGGTGTCTTTGTAAAAATAGAGTAAGCCACTTCTCGCCAGGTCTATTTTCTTTGAAGGGATTTGGCCGACCATCATCAGTCAAAATTTTTTTTACAGCATCTTCAACTTCTGATGGATGCATCGGGAATCTCAATGTTTCTTTTGCAAGAATCCAGTGTTCTAAGCGGTTTTCTTCTAATTCATTTAACACTGGCTGGGGAGCCATTTTTCTAACATTAGGTGTTTTTTCAGTAATTTTGTTATGGAGAGTCGATTTAGGGATGTTATATTTTTTGGAAGAAGAATTTAAAGTTTCGTTCCCATCTTTTATGTCCTGAAGGGCATTATCAAGAGCTTCTTCACTGTATCGGAACCGACAGTATTTTTTAGACTTCTCTGCGCTCATCTTTAACAAAAAAAATCGATTGATATTTAATACATAATTGCAGAAACAAAAACTCCTAGTTAATGAACACAAAGGACCTAGTGATTGAACTAGATCAAAGTTTAAGAAAGCAGGTGTTCATTTACTGGTTTACATACATTTACACTTAAAATAATACTGCAAGAACGTAATCCTATTTACGGTGAATATTTAGGCTTATTTTTGCGTGATTTTACGATAACCTCAAAAATGCCAATGAATAAACACACCGTTCATTCACTAGAACTCTTATATTTATTACAGCCAGTGATCGAACACTATAATCATTAAAAATAACTTAAATTTGTATAACCTATATTTGCAAAATAGTTCGTTTATTCAACTTACTCTCGTTTTACATATATAAAGTTACATTTTCTTCTTTTCAATTATTAGTAAAGTATAGATTAAGAATGGAGGGCAGTTAACTTACCTTAATCAAAATGGCTTCCTAGCTTTACAACGCACACTGACGCTACTACTGCTCTCTATTAAGAAACTATCAACTCTTGTAGTCCATATCCAATGATTGAACAATATATATGCGCAGGTGCAGTTTGTACTTGAAATATAAGTACGTCATCTAAGATTAGCCGCATCCTTATTCTCGGCAAAAAATTAAGCCAGTGTTCAATCACTGGTCAGTGTTCATTCTCTGGTTGATCTACCCTAGATCAAAAGCAATAAACAGAAGAAGTTCATTTACGACTTTTGAATTAAACACTTATAAACTGCATTATTATTACCAGAACGTTTGGCATCGCATCCTCTCATTCCTTATCACTGTCTAATAACTTACACGAAATCTGGAATCGGTAAGTTGAAGATTTTACAAGTTATGGCCTTATAAACAATTTAGCTAATTATTACTCTGGACGATCCCGAGGATCTTCCACAATTCCACTGATTTTGTTCATGGTAGAATTCATAATAGTACATTGAAATCTATCATTTTTTTTTAAATTTCAAATTAACCTGGAAATTTATCACGAACGTGATATAGTTATATATTATTACATAATCGGAAAGCTTATGAAAAGATCTTTAAGAAATAAAAAAATCGTCAAGATTCGTTGAAAAACAACGAAGTTACAGACTGTCAAAGTTAAATAAATTAGGTTGGTAGCGGCAAAAAAATACTGTCATAACCGGCAACCCGAGTACTTTCCCAGATAAAAATATTCTATTTGTGGAAGAAATATTGTCAAAAGTCAGTGGGTCACTTGATTTTCGGCGAGCCTTGGCGCGGCGGAAGGGTGGGGGAAGCGAACGACAGCGAGTCCGAAGAAAATGACCATAATATTCATAGTCCTGCCGTTAAATAAGCGAAATTCGCTTGAAAATAATATATTTGACAGTCTGTAACTCCGTTGTTTTTCAACGATTCTTGACGATTTTTTTTTAACTTAAAGCTCTTTTCATAAGCTTTCCGAATATGTAATAATATATAACTATATCACGCGCGTGCGTCGTATATTTCATTTTGCAACTAAGGCTAAAAAATAAAAAAAATTTCCAGGTTGCAAATTTGAAAATTAAAAAAAAATGATAGATTTCAATGTATTATTATGAAATCTACCATGAAAAAAATCAGTGCGATTGTGGAAGATCCTCGGGATCGTCCAGACTAATAATTAGTTAATTTGTTTATAAGGCCATAACTTGTAAACTATTCAACTTACCGATTCCAGATTTCGTGTGATTTATTAGATAGTGATAAGGAATGAAAGGATGCGATGCCAAAACGTTCTGGTAAAAATAACGCAGTTTATAAATGTTTAATTCAAAAGTCGTAAATGAACTTCTTCTGTTTATTACTTTTGATCTAATCAATATTTTTTGACCCTGGAGGGCTAGTATTGTAGGTTTTTTGAAGACGAAAAAAGAAAGTACTTTACTATTTTCTCGTGGAAATGAACGGAAAAAAGTTATAAGCGAAAAACGTGAATTTACGTAAAAATTATACAATTAACCACCCTGTAAACAATCTTCCCCCCATTTTTATAACTGTGGAAACTAATATGTTATTGTACATAATATTTAGCATCTAAATCAGATTGCCGAAACAAAAAGTCGCGTCCAACTCTATATTTCCTTGACAAATTTGTGAAGTATGACTTTAGGTACTTTAAATTGTAGGTAATTTAATTGTCTATAACATAAAATAACTAATTTTCCGATAGGTTGTCTAGATTTTCATCAGCAGTAAAAAAAGTGAAAAAACAGGTAATTTTGCAATTTGTCAACTTTCGAGTTAGTTTTTATCATTCCACATTAGGGTTGCCAGATCTCCGGGTTTGACCCGGAGTCTTCGGGTTTTGATGGTACATCTTCGGGCTCCGGGTTAACATGTCATTTCTCCGGGTTTCCTGGAAAAATTGTGATTTCTTCTCCATATTTTCTGATTTCGTTTTTTTTAAAAAACAAATAATTTGGGCCTCCCCAAGGGGGGCAACAAAGAAAAAAAGAAAAAATTCCCGAAGAACGCCCTTTTTTTATGTTCAAACTCTAATTCGTTATAACAGTAATATTAGTATGTACACAATTTTTTTTACACTAAAACCATGGTTTTCAAAATACATGAAAGAATGAAAGTAGAAAAGGTACCTATAATTTTGACTCCAATCTCAGAGTACAACGTTGAAAAGCTATGAAAATACTATTTAAAAGATCCAATTTTTCATTCGTTTGCATTTAAAATATTGACACTAGAAATAGGTCAAATGCATGTTTGATAGACATTAAACTGACCACTTACAGTCATTGGAGTTTTCCTTGAGGAAGTATTGATTTGTCTGTCTACAATCTTTCAAACATTTCCTTAAGCTTCCATGTAAGTCACGAAATAAACAAACACAATTTATATACAATAATTCGTCAAATTTTTATCTGAGTATTCCTTTAATTTATGAAGAAGTTAATTATTTCCCACGAAACTCTAACCGCAAAACATTCGTTTGTTTAAACACCAATAACAATTTTTTTTTTAAATGTAATGCATTAATAATAAAATATGCGGTATACATTTTAAAGTAAATAAAATTGTTTATTACCAAAATTTAATAATTATTAACTTATTTCAGAATTAAAAGCGGTTCTTTTTTAAATGTTTGTCGGTTTATTGATTCATCAGTACAAAGTTCGTGCCGTAGGTAAGCCATCAGCTGATTTGTATCGCAGGAAGGAAATCTACGTGACGTCAGATGCTAGTGTTTTGTTTGGGATTAAAACATAAATATAAATGCAATATCGGCCGATAATAAATATTTGTGCGGTGTGTTAGTGTAAATTAATTGTTTTACGTTGTTTCGTGTGAATCCTGTGGTGAGGTACGATGATTAAAATTTAAGTTAATAAACGAATCAGCTGATTAAGTGCAACCAACAGTTTTGAGGTTAGTTTCGGACAAGGTAGGTTATTTTCGTATTATCTAAAGTAGTCACTCCTATTATCTAATACGGAGTCACAACTATACAACAAAACAGACAATCAAGGTCAGAAATTTCTGCTAATTCGTGTACACTCGCGTACAGTCGATGAAATTAATCGATTCGCCAATTCGCGTTAATTACAAATGGTATTGCTGTACGCATCTACAAAGTGGTACTACTTCATTATTGTTTATGGAAACGATAACATACATGAGGGTGTCTTAAACCTAAATAGTATTTAAAAAAGTTAAAATAGAAGATATGTTTTTTATAGATGTGGCGGAAATTTTTGTGTAGTGGAACCCAAAATTATTTAAAACAATTGGAATGTTTGCCATTATTTAAGAGTAGAAACTACATACATATATACTTTATATAATAAACAGTGGATGTTACATTTTTTTATAATGTTATCAAATATTTAATACTTTGAGATTTTATAATCGATAAGTAGTAACTAATAATATCTTGTAGGTACCTATATCCTTTATTTCAATCATAAGGATTAGCCCAGAGGCCGTGTTTGCATAATGAAAAAATAATTTTATCCGTAAATTCAACTCCCTTTGAGTGATAGTTGCAACCCCTAGATTTTTAAATAAGAAGTAGAGGCTTGTGATACCTCATTTGAAAGGTCTTTTTCATTCTCAATTAAAAAATGCTATGGTTTTAATGTTTATTGCAAAAATTAATGGTCCGCTTCACGAAATCTGCTACAACAAACAAAAACATACAAACTTACAGCGTTTTGTTCTTGCAAGCTAACAAAAACTATGTCAGTGTTTTTTTCCAACGTTATCAACTAAAAAGAAGACATAAAAACTTATCAACATTTTTCATAGCTAGCATTGCCAGTTTCATTCAAAACGCCATTTAATTGACAGCAATAAATAGTTGTCAATGTTTTGCGTATTGTTTGAGATTTGCTAACTGCAATTCCTAAAATTATTTAATAAAAATGGTTACGGAGATTCACAGACCGAAGTTGCTCGTCAATTTCAAGAAAATTTTCCTGTATTGCCGCCTATATCCCAAGGCACAATTAGCAAAATTGAAAAGCAGTTTCGCGAAAATGGACGCGGATGGCAAATAAAAAAGAAGCTTCCAGTGCAATGAGTAATGGTACCAAATTAGATGTACTGCTTGAGTTTGAAGAAAACCCACATAATCCAAGTCGACAAGCAACTTCAGCATTGAATGTTTCCCATTCCTCGATTATTCGCCTATTAAAAGAATATAAAATGTACTGATCCTAACTCATGAGCTTATTGAAGACGATTTTGATAGAAGAACGTATTTTTGTGAACAAATGACGCAAAGGTTAGACAACCATGTTATCCAACTAGAAGATATTTTGTTTTCTGACGAGTTCACTTTTACTTTTCACGGTCATGTTAATAAATCCTCTCTGGATGAGGGAATGGCACTCAAAATCCTGAAGAGGTTAATGTTTGAGCAGGGATAATTGGAGACTATGTCATTGGTCCCTTTTTCATTGATCGTAATTTGAATGGAGATAATTATTTACTTATGCTGCAAAACAATATCGTGCTAACTTGGACAAAATTATATCCTGCTCAAGCAAACTCACAAATTCCAGCCGGTATGATATGGTTACAGCCGGATGGAGCACCACCACATTACCGAATCAGTGTCCGTCAATACCTCGGCTTAACATTTCCAAACTGATGGAGACCCCTAGAATTGCCAGCAGGTTCCCCTGATCTTACACCCTTACATTTCTTACTATGGGGATATGTGAAAAGTATGCTATACAATACTAAGCCACGTGATAAGAAAAAATAACAGTTGTGGTTAGGTCGATCAGATGTTAGAAAACATTAGAAGAAATTTTCATTTACGATTGTTGTTGAAATTAAGTTTTTGGTTTGCTGTAACGGATTTAATCAAGCATATGAATTTATTTTTTTACTGCAAATTTTTGCAATAAATAGAAAAACCATAGCGTTTTTGAATAGATAATAAAGGACCTTTCAAATGAGGTATCACAAGCCCATTTAAAAATTTAGCCACTCGAAGGAAGTTGAATTTAGGGATGAAATTTGTACGTTACAGGATATCATTTCAGAATCCGAAATCGACGTGTCCCCGCATTTTTTTACAAATATGCACAATGACTGAGATGCTGATTTCATTTGGCTGTTCCACGGTGTATGGGTGTTTCCTGAGTAGGCTAAGATGTCAAAGAAAACGAGAAATTTATTTACCTAAATATAAATATAAATTCTGAGAACGGGGTGTGGATTTTAGTTTTTAACTTTTGTTTTCATTACATGTCATAAACGGATTTATTTCTTTTTCTCATATTATTGTCATATCTCTGTCTATTAGAAGGCATTTTTTGCTGAAACAGGAAGTCGATAGCAGCCTATTTGAAACAGTATTAACATTACTTTGAAAAAATATCTTGGTATTTGCTAATGTTTCATTTAATTTAAAAGAAAAACGCAGTTTAGCTGAGGCATTAAGACCTCGTATTAAAAAATTATCAAATTACACAAAGTATTTTAAAAGTTATTAAAAAAAATCGATTTTCAGGGTCGTCCTTTAGGGACTTGTATCTCCGTAGTAGAGTTAAGTAGTTCACCTGGTATTTGATAAGACTTTGTGAAGGTACACTGTACAAAGTTTAATAGTTGTGCTTTTAGTTTTTTAAATAATAATTACCTACCTATTTCAATATTCGTAATTTGCTTTCGCTTATTATAATTATTCTATTAAAGAATAATACATAGTTTTTATGAATAAGGATTAGGCATTTGACCGTGTTTGTTGACACGCTACATAGTTTCTGATCTAAATTGGAAATTACTACTAAATATAGTCCCCTTTTTTACTTTACTACACTTCGAGTACAACATAATTTCCCCATGAAATATCCGGTCATTAATTTTCTGGTTTAATATAGTCTTAGACTTCTCATTTTTATAATATTTAACATGGCTAAGTTTGCACTAGTGCATATTATCAACGGAATCGTTGGGTACGTAGCTATTTTGATGAAATTAGTTTTTAGTTAAAATGAAATGTAAATGGAAGCAAACTTTAAAACATATGTTAGGAAGTCGTTTTTGCAATAGGATATTTTTAAATATTAGAGAAACATTGTAACTACTAACAGAACAATTAACAAAGTATTGGTGTTAATAAGGCCGCTTTCTCATAATCTAATTAACTGCAATTATTATTTCTTGAGAAGTTGTTAGAGTTGAGCATGTTATATTTTGCGATGACGAGGATCCCTGACGTATTCTTTTCAGCTTTGTTTGGTGGTGTTCAGGGTCCTGTAATTTGAGTGATTCGGTGTGGCAAGGGTTTGAACAGTTTGTGATTCGGTCAGTGACTTGCCCACCCCATTGATTTGTCTTCTATAACAGCAGGTTGTAGGACAGATGCCCCAGAGGTTATCCTGTGTTGCTTTTTTCTTCTTTAAAAAAGTAATAAGGCAGTTGCACGCTAAGCTGGTTCGCATGAAGCTACGAAGAAAAAATTCTTCTCTAGACTTTCGGTGTATTTTCAATACTACAACTTTGTGTTATTATTTTGAGAATACCTTAATTTGTCTTCTTTTAGTGTCTCGAGCTTTTTGGACACATTAAAATTGCAAATATTTGAATAGATCGAATGTAACATTCATAATATTTCACATGTAGCATTTTTACAACTACATTCCAAAGAATCTTAATAATGGCATATTTGTAATTTGTTCCTTCTGCTTTTTCCATAACCATAATCTTTTAAAATTACTGCCGATTGCCATATACTTCTTCAGATCACACTCTTTTTTTACATAACTGCTCAAACTACTGATAATATCATGTTTTGTCTTTCTGATATTTTCATATATGAAAACTTAACAAACAAGGTTGGGCAGAATTTCTATTCGTTTTGATAACTTCTATGATGTAAGATGCAATTCAAAGAATGCAAATAAAACTCATTTTCTCTTTTTGATTTTGATCCATACTATTAGTAAAACGCCTCAAATATAAAAACATATAAAAAAATAACATATTCTAATATATATTTTTTTAAGAAATAGTCTGTCTATTATAATTAGTTTAACAAATTTTATAATTTTTATAAATAGACATTTATAAAAATGTGTAGCAATTTCGATGCACTAGGGATATTATGATTATTTATGTTTTCTTCTGAACTTCCAATAGCAATAGGTATTTACGTATTTATTATTTCGAAGGCCTTAGAATAATTATAAATTTATGATTCAGGTCATTGTTGTTTTAAATACGTTGTCTGAAGGATATAATTAATTGCGTACGAAAATCTTCACATAGCGTAGGTCGTCAAATAATATCTCTCAAAATCACATCGGGTACCACGTGCTTATCCATACAGATTTGATCTTCAAGAAAACATTAGGGAATGCCTAGCAGGTCTAAAGCTTCTTTTTTTTAGGCAGAACTTCATTAATATAAGTATTTCTGGTGTTTTCTATGAATTTTGGTTTCAGTGAATGAAGTGATATTGTTAAACCGCTAATATGAAATAGAACTTACTGATTTCTCTTTGTACTTACTTAGACTTAAATCATATTTAACCAGAAGAAGCCAAAACTCGTAACCCGGTGCACGTCAAGGTTCCATTCTGGGTCCATTGTTGTGTTTTTTGGGATCTGGAGGTCAGGCTATATCTACCACATGTTTTCGAGATCGCTGAATCCGAATCTGTGATCCATTTAACCTCATCACCCCATAATCTAACCTCCAGACTTGGAATTTTTTTTTGTGTGGCTGTGTAATTTTTAATTTTACCGAAGTTTAATTGCCAACATGGAGGAAACAAATATATATTTTGGTCCATACGATCTCGCCTCCAAGTTTGTGATACATTTTTTTAACACCCTGTANACGCTCAGTGTAACTCGGTCTCTTAGACGATTATAGATTCTATCGATGTGCGTAGCGAGCGGCACAAAGATAAATAATATTGAACCG